TGGCTGGTGGGCGGGGCAGATGGAGACTGGAGCAAGGCCCCCATCCAGACGCAGCCCCTGGCTGAGGGTCCAGGCCCCTGGCTGGTCTCCACCTCTGGTCCATCTGCGCTCTCTGGTCCACCTCGGGGGGGTGGGGGGGGGAAGGTTCCTCCTGGACGCGGTGTGGTCTGGGGACCCGGCCCCCTGAGCGCCAAGGCCTGGGCGCAGAGACCCTCCCCTCCCTCCCCTCCCCTCCCGGGCCTCCCGCCGCCCGGCCCCCCACGTCGCCTCTGGAACCCGCCCGGCGCTGGGGCGGGAAGGAAGGGGCGCGGGGAGCGGGCCGGGCGGGCGAGCAGAGGCTCTAAATCTTCCTTCCACCGCGAGTGGCTGGAAGTCTGAGCAGCAAATTCAAAGCAGGCGCGCCTTGCAGAGCGAGCCTTTCCTGCAGAAATACGCCCCGGCATCCAAGCGCATCCAGGGGCGGCTCGGGCTGCCTTGTTTGGCTAAGGTCAGACGAGACTCGAGCTCTCCAATAAAAATAAATCTCAAATTAATTATGGCCTCGAGCGAGGGGCCAGACACTTGAAGCTGCAGTTGTGCAGCAGTCTGGAGTTTTGGCGCTGGCTCATTCGCCCATCCCACCTCCCCCGCACCCCTCCACCCCCCGCCCCGCCTGCCAGCTCGAATACCCGAATACCCGCTGTGGCCGCTAGAAGGGTGAGGGGGGGGGGCGAGGAGGCGGGCGGAGGGGGAGGATCCGCCCTGGACCGCTGGGCTGGCTGGGCCGGGCGTCTCTCTTCCAGCCCTCCCCCTCCCCCGCGGCATCGCTCAGGGTTTCAAATGCCCCGATGGACTGTCCAGGAGTCGTCGTCGGAGGCACCCTAGGGACCCAGCTCTGTCTGTCGCGCCCTCCCGTCCCTAACTCAGGGCAGGTTCAGAGAAGCCCGGGAAGTCGCTCCTGTCTGGAGAGCCTTGACCGGGTCAAAAGGGCTGACATTGAGCGAGCCAAGCCGCCTTTCACCCGCCGCTCCCCTCCCTCCCGGGGGAAGCGGGACTTCCGCATCCGTGAAAATACTGTCCGATTGGGAAAGTTCCAAAGAAATATCCCCCCTCCCCTCCCCACCCATCCATAGGCATGCTTTCCATAAAGGACCCTAGACCTAGACATGGGAGGGGGTCTGTTTTGGGGGTACCTCCTCCTCCCCAGGTGGTAGCTTTCGTTTTAAAAGCTGGACCCGCTTTGTGGGGTTGTAAGCTTCCCCGGACTTGGACTTGAAAGCCAGCCGGCGGCGGTGCTGATGGACTGAGGGGGCACGGGTGGCAGCCAGCACCCGCTCCTGGTTGGTCAGCAGCCCTGCCCAGTCTGGGAAAGGGAGAGGCAGCGCAGGCTGTTCTGGTAAGCCAGAAGAGAGGGTGTGTGCCAGTGTGTGGGCTGGGGTAAGTCAGCCGGCCCAGCCAGGCCAGGAGGAGACTGGCAAGGCAGGAAAGGGAAGAGAGAGAGAGAGAGAGAGAGAGAGAGAGAGAGAGAGAGAGAGAGAGAGGAGAGAAAGGGAGAAAAGGGGTGAGGCAAGAAGTGGGGTGAGGAGAAACACAGACAGGGAGGGAAAGGGAAGGGCAAGGGTTCCACCCCCCCCCCCCCCCCCAATTCCCAACTCCTGGACAGGCTTCCTCTGCAGCAGGCCTCACCGCAGGCTCTCTATCAATTTGTCTCAATGCAAACATTCGAAATATTCTCCTTGGCTGTTCGTGAAAACAATGCGGGCTGCCAGGATCAAACCATCTTTCCAGATGTCTGGTGGAAACCACATGAAAACGGGGCAGACTTGTTTACTGTTGTGTTTGGTTAGGGCTCCCTCCCCCCCCCCCCACTTTGGGATTTACAAAAGCAGCAGCGAGAGAGGCGAGCCTCCAATCCAGAGTTACATAAGTGGGCACGCTTGCCCACCGGCATGTCAACACAGGATGGGTGTGTATGTGTGTGTGTGTCTCACATTCCCTCAAAGGCTGTCCAGAGTTGGAAGGGGGTTGGTTCCTCTGGACAGAGAGCCGTGCGGATGGACAGGAGGGCCTCAGGAAGGCCCTGGTCACTAGGCACAGGCGTGGCCCGCATGCCAGTCCCTGAGTCACAAAGTGGTGACAATGATGCCTGTGCCAGCTGCTCCCTCTTCTCGCCCCCCTCCCCCAGCTTCAAAATAATGAAGTTGCCATAGCGCGGGTCTTACAGGCAGAAAGAAGGGAAAGTGCTACTGAGCCCCAGAACTAAAACAGGGGGGCAGCCCTCCTTTCAATCCAGTTCCCTGTGGGAAAAGCGGCATCAGGGGCGCTAGTGATATGGGGGTGACCATGCTGGTCCATGAGGTGCAGGCAACCTGCCTTGGTCCAGGCTGAACAGGAGGCGGGAAGAGAATGTTTGCCAATGTGTTGGCCACAAAGGAGCTTTTTGGAGGCTTAGGTGGAGGGCAAGGGGCATGGGGCATGGGGTGGCCATTCATGGCCTTGGTGCTTGCCCAGTGCCGGGAAGAGGGCCTCCTGATGGTGGAGCTGGAGTCCTCTCTGTCCGAAAGAGGGGTGCTGTGACTGGGGGGGGGGGTGGTCCCAGGTTTCTGGTCTCCCCTCCAGTGGGAAGCAGTCTCCCCCGCGCCCTCCTGAAAGCCCCCGTTGTTGTTTGAAGGTCGGCCGGCAGAGTCTGGGCTGCAAAGGAAACAATTTGGGGTTTGAAAGGATGTAATTCATTCTCCCTTTCCCTTTAACCTCTCTCCTTTCTGGAAAGCATGTGGAAGCTGGAGGGGGAAGCGGTGAGCGGGGCCGGGTGGCTGGGCCGAGGGGAGGAAAGGGTTAACCCTGATTTCTTTTAATTGAACTCCAGAACTGGTGGCCCCAGGCAAAAGGGGGGGGGACTGACCCCGCTAGCGGTAACCAGATGTGGCGGTCCCAGGGGAGCCCCTGAGCAGACCCCTGGATTGAGAAGCAGACAGGAGGTGGGGGGGGGGGCAGCCCGGCCCTCATTCCACCCCTTAACCACCTCCCCCCCCCCCTTTCTTCACTCCCCCATACACACACCGAGTCTCTCAATTGCTGGCAGGCTGCACCCGCCACTCCTGGTCTGGTCACGTTCAGACCCTCGTCTGCATTCGACCCCAAAATTGGAGCTGAATTGATGAGACTCATTTCGAGAGAGGGGGGTTGGGGGGCGGGCGGGCGGGAGGGAGGTGAGAGAGCTCGCTCTGGGGCTCCGTTGCTCCTGAAGAAATAAAGAATTAATAAGTCACCTCTTTTCGCTGCTGCAGACGGACACCCCTTTGGCAACTTTTTTTTTTCTTTTCGATTGGCTCGGATCTCCTCTGGATTTTTTTTTTCTTCTCTCTCTCCTCCTTCCCTGGGTGGACTCTTAAAATAAAAGTGAGAAAGTGCCAAAGCGTGGTCCGGAGAGCGTGGACAAGGTAATTTCGGGGAGAAGCGCGGAGTCAGGCCGAAAGCGCCCCGCGGTGACGGGGTGGGGTTCCCCTCCCTGAGCCCGGACGCTGGAGGCTGCCCGCTCTGGAGCGCGCGTCCAAGCTGCTGGGGTGGGGGTGGGGGGCTCTGGGTGTCGGGGTGCAGCCAGAGGGGCACCAGGAGGCCACCTCAGCTTAGAGGGGGCTTGGTCGGGGTCTCCCCAGAGTGGGGGCGGGAGTCTGAGTCTGGGCCGCGATGGGGGTGCTGCGTGCGCTCCGGAGACCCGCTGAGCAGCGTGGAGGGGACGTCCCGCCCGAATGTCCGTCTCCTGGGCGCGGGTGGCATCGCGCAGGCAGCTGTGGCCATGGTCGTGCCCGGGCTGGGACCATCGCGCCCAGGTTAGCGCCAGGGTTTGACCCTAGAGGGCGCGGGAGGGAGGTGGCCTAGGGTGTTGTTGGCCCCAGCCCTGGGGGGGGGGCGCGGGGGCCCCAGGAGCTCTCCAGGAGCAGAGGGTCTAAGCCTGCCGCCAGGAACCCCCCACCCCACCCCCTGCTCCCCAGCGCTGGGTTCGGAGCCCGCGCTCCCCCAGGCCAGCATCCCTGCAAAAACAGCCCGGAGTGCAGTGCGAGCGCCGGGCGGGTGAGCCACTCGGGGAGTTGGCAGCCCAGTTCCGAATGGAAAAATTCCCATTGGATGCTCGCTGCCTTGGTCGGTTTGCCGCTGTCTGCGTCTGCATCGCCCAGGGCAGGAAGCTCAGGCTTCTCCCCAGCCCTAGGAAGCGCTCCCGCCCCCACCCCCCCCCCCTCAAAAAAAAAAAAAAAGAAAAAGAAAGAAAGAAAAGAAAAAAAGAAAAAGAAAAAGAAAGAAAAAAGTTTGACTCCGGCTCCTCCGGCTGGAAAAAACATTAATGAACGTATCTGTGGGAAGAAACGGAAAGTGAATGAGTCAGGAGGGCCACCTTGGGCCAAGGGCCCCGGGAGAAGGAAGGAGGCCAAAGGCGATTGGGTTTGGATTTGGGGGGGGGGGGGGGAGGGCTGAAAGGGGGATGCAGCCTGCGGGGACCCGGGCACGGGCGGCGGGCGCGCCCCGGGCATTGTTCCCGGGGCCCGTTATCTCTCCGGAGCCGGCATCCTGTGTGCGCGGCGCGTGGATGCAGCTGGGCATCTCCGTGTGTATTTATGTAGCGTGTGATGCGAAAAGCAGGAGCGGCGGAGGGGGGGGGGGAGAGGGAGGAGAGAGAGAGAGAGAGAGAGAGAGAGAGAGAGAGAGAGAGAGAGAGAGAGAGAGAGAGAGAGAGAGATAGGACTTCCTCCCCGGTTTGCAAAGTGAAGTCACTTCCCAAAATTAGCTGAAAAAAAAGTTTCATCCGGTTTAAACTGTCTCTTTTCGATCCGCTACAACAACAAACGTGCACGGGGTGCGCAGGGCGGGCAGGGCGCTCGGCTCGCAGGGGGCACGCGGGGAGGGCCTGGGGCGCCGGGAAGGAGGCCGCCGCGCCCGGCTGATCCGAAGGGGCTGCTGCGACGAGGTCAGGCTGCAACCGGGTCAATGTGTGGAATATTGGGGGGCTCGCCTGCAGACTTGGCCCAATGGACGGGACTATTAAGGTAAGAAGAGACCGGCCGGCTGATGGGCGCGGGCGGGCGGCGGGCGGCGGGGTCCCCGGAAGACGTGGCCGCTCTCTGCTGCTTCCGCGCCCGGCTCCGCGGCGTGACCTCCCCGCGCGTGGGGGGCAAGTTTCTCCTTTCTTCCCGGGGCCATGTCCCCTGCACCCTTTGCTCCCCAAGCGGAGCCCGGTCCTCCGGTCCCCCTCCCTCCGCGCTGCCATCCTCCCGATGCGGGCGAGGCCGGTGTGAATCCTGGGGAGACGGGGGAGTCCCGGGCGCGTGTAGGAGTCGGGAATCCGATTCCGTGCGGATCCATCACCTCCACCCGTACCCAGGCTCCCCGGCCAACTCCGGGTACCGGTCCGCGGCCGGCTCCCCTCCCTCCCGGCTGGAGGCGGTGGGGGCGGAAGCTGCAGCCGCCGGCAGCTCGGGTCCCCGCCGGGTGGGCCCGGGGCAGACGCGCAAGTGGATCGGTTGCGGCGGCGGTAGGGGTGTGTGTGTGTGTGGGGGGGGAGATCGGAGGGTGAGTGACCCTTTCTGGGCTCCCCCTCTGGAGGGAAGCCCTGTTGACTTGTCAGAGAGCCTGGTTTTTCTTCCTCCCCGCGTTTCTGCCGCCGCGTAACGGGCCGACCTGGCCGCTTCCCCCGCCGCCGCCGCCGCCGCCGCCGCCGGGGCAGGACGGTTCTCTGCAGCCCGGGTCCCCGCCGCGCCCCGAGCCCCTGGTTTCCCCATCTTGCCCCGGGTTGGCGCCTGCTTTGGCGGGGAAGAGCCGCTTCTTCTAAGGTGGTTGGCCAACCCCTGCGCCTCAGCCCTACCCTCACTCCCACACCCTTCGCCTGGCTTAGGTTGCAAAGTGCAGCCCCGGAGGGAAGGGCTGAGGGTCTGGGTTTCACGTCCGTCCCGACCTCAGAAGGGCTGACTGCCTCCTCCCTCAAGAAGGGGAAGTAGGGCGAGGAGCAGAAAGGAGGGACACCCCCTAAAGCCACTGGCCTCGGAGGCGCGAGGGGGAATGAATGGGACTAGGAGTCGCTGGGCGGCTGCAAGGCAGTGGTGCAACCCCAAGGAGTCAGTCTGGAAAAACTATTAGGCTGGCGAGGTGAGGACTGGCAGAGCCCGCCAATTCCCCCAGAACCCAAAGGAATCAATTTCAGGCTCTTGGGGCTGAGTAGGAGAAAGCTAAGAATTCAAGAGATATTTATCATTTGGGTGGGGTAATGGTTTTTATTTTCTAAGGGTTTTTTTTTTTTTTGTGTGTGTGTGTGTGTGTGTGTGTGTGTGTGTTGTTGATTTTTTCTGAAAATTTGAGATATGCTGACTTAGGTAGAAAACACCAACAGAAGAAATCTGGAGATGAGATAACTGATGCTGATGGGTTAAAAGGTGGCTGTGTGAGCCCGGGTTCCTCAAGTTTCAAGTGTGTGGGTGCGGAGTGGGTGAGGGAGGATTCCTATAGGGAGGGCGTGGTGCTCAGAGATAGTTTTGTGCTTGTTTTCCTTCACGGTGGCTGGTATGTGTGTCTGCAAGTGTCCTGGGTCCCTGGTTTAAAATGAGATGCTACACTCTAGCATACTCCACCCCCCCCCCCTAATTAGGACACTTTCCACTTACCCAGAAGGCACCTCTTTGATCCCAAAGAGGGGTAACATGGCTCCAGTCCGATGTGGACACTCTAAGGAGAAGTGAAGCAATTTCTTCTCCACGATGCTCAGACCTCTAAGGCAGGCCCAGAGCAAAGGGAGGAAGCTGTGGTCTGTACCCAGGATGTGCTAATCTCTTTAGATAGACACACACACACAAACACGCACACACACTCACACACACAGGGATTGGCATGGTGGGCAGTGAGCACAGCTTAGGCCAAGACCCTGGCATTTTGTGCCAAGGATGTGAGTGAAAGCCTTCTTTTCCACGTGGGTGGTGAGAGCCTGGGTGGTGAGAGCCTGCGGGTCCCTCCACACACCCTCCACAGGAGCACCCCGTTCTCATCTGGGCGACCTGGCTTTACAGAAACCCCCCCCCCCCCACACACACACACAGAGCAGTGGCTGCTCCAGTCCCCAAAGTGCTGAAGGATTGAGTCCTTGAGTGTATGCATTGGTATTTAAATTGTGTGAAAGCCACAGTTTCTCTTTCATGTGAGACCTTTGGATCTTAGGGTTCCTGGGCCCCACTCCCACAGTGGTTTAAATGTTGTTGTTGGAGAGTGGATAAGAAGATAAGAAGTTAGACCAGCTAACTTCTGGTCTATGCGAGAATGCAGTTCATTAAATCTGTCTGAGCTTCCAAATCTTTGCAATTATCAAACAGTGAGACTAAATTACCTCCACAAGAGTATCTTTCTCAACCCTCTCTCTTCCTAAAATATTATGGTCCTATGCTCTAACAAGAACATGTACTGGATGTCTCTGAGATCCAGGTCTATACAGACACGGTCTGAAGGATCTATATAGAGAGGGAGAGATCTGTGTGTCATATCTAATCTGCAGACACAAATCCAGAAAAGGGTGTTCCCCGTTGGAATGGCCTGGAAAAACCATCTTTGAGTGATTCTGGGATGTGATTTCTATGCACCTGCACATGTTTTCTCCCTCAAATAGAAGGTGGGTGTCTCTTTCAAAATCCTTGTCTGTCTCGGCACTGAGGAGCTATTTGGCCCAGAAAAGTCTTTGCAGCAGATTTCTTTGCAAAAGCCCTTGACTCTGTGCATAATTCTGTCTGATTCCAAAACCTCGATCTTAACTGCCCTTGTTACAATAAGTCCTTCTGTGTTATGTTTTCCTCTCATTTCCATGAGCGTCTCCTGGGAAGGCTCGGAGCCTCTAGTTGGGGAAGCACCCAAGTTTGGGGGGGGGGGGACCATTCTACTCTTTCGCTGCCACTGACAGTTAACCTGCATATTAATCATCACCCCGCCCCGCCCCTGCTCCCCGCAGTGATGGTATCAGGGTTGAAAAGCACATGATACTGGTGGCTGCTCTAAGAAATGACCTGGTTTCAAGAACAGCATCTTAGTTTCAAGCAGTCTTCAACCGAGTCTTAATATTTCATCTGTGAAAGCTTGAGTCAGTGCCCATGGTGCCAGCAAAAAGGTGGCCAGACAATCCAAGGAGACGCGGACATGGCAAATGCCATAGGGAAAGGGACAGCAGACTCCCGGACTCATGCTCAGCTCTGCTAGAATGTTGCTACAGCGAGGGGCTTGGTCCTTGGAGTCTCGGTTTCCCCATCTGTGAAATGGGGCCAGAGTAGCTCCCTGACATATGTAAGTCACAGTAAGGATTATGTAAAGCCTGCGCCTTAGTTGCATGCACATTGGTTGAATTTCTCCTTGGCGATAGGCCTTTTGGGGTTTGATTGGTTAGAAAATTGGATCCTGGGTGTGGATTTACCATAATACATGTTTCATTCATGTAACAAATATGAACTGTGTGTTTCTTATGTCCCAAGGCTCAAAACTCGTGCTTTGTGTGTTGAGAATAAAACAGGCATCAAAACCCTGCTGGGATTTATACCCGAGTGGAGGAAGCAACAGGCACACAAATAATTATATGTCTATAGATAATAGACCTTCTGAAGAACAGTGAAACAAGTTAGGGGATAAAAAGTGATACAGCTGTGTCAGCCAGGATGGTCAGGGAAGATGCTTTGAGCAAAGTCCAGCCGAGGAGAGCAATTCTGTTTGCATCCTTTACCTCTGGAAAGTACAGCACCACACAGCCAGCGAGTGCTGGGTGAGTAAAGCAGGGAAGAAAAGTTGAAATTGAAGTTGGGTTCTGCAAACCTGCAGAGAGTTTCCGAGCCAGGCAGGCCCAGGAGGGCAGGTTGTCATGCAGGGGCAGTGCTTGCCAGAGGGGGAAGCAGCAGAGGGAGGAATGCTCCGGAACAGACGTGACTTGTGTCTTCAGAGAGTGTTGCTGTCTTCACGTTGCAGAGTGAACACCCACGCACATCTTTTTACCTTTCTATCTCCTCTATTCTTTGTATCTGTCCCCAGGAAGTACCCAATGGCGAATTGGTAATGATTTGGTTTATTTTTGTGGATAATTTCTATTCTTTGGCCAGTTTGGCTCAGTGGAGAGAGCATCGGCCTGCGGACTGAAGGGCCCTGTGTTTGATTCTGGTAAAGGGCACGTGCCTGGTTGTGGGCTCGATCCCCAGTGTGGGGCATGCAAGAGGCAGCCAGTTAACGATTCTCTCTCATCATTGATGTTTCTCCCTTTCTCCCTGAAATCAACTTTAAAATTTTTTTAAATGTTTGAAGAATAATAGTTTCTACAAAACAGCTTCCTTCTATTCTGCTGCTATTCCAATTAACAGGTTTGCAAATTTAGAGAATATTTAGCTCCATATTCTTATGTTATGGGTGGGAAAGCTAAGCCTAGAGTTGTTAAATGAATTATTCAAGGTTATACAGATTATTTCTGAGTCAGGGTGAGAATTCAGGGCTCCTGACCCTCAGACTAGTGTAATTCCCACTCATACCATGAAGCTTTCATTCACTTTCATTATATTATTGCGGATTATAGAATCCTGGAGGCAGGGTTAGTATGTTGCGTGTGAGTGTGCCTAAGAGAGAGACAGAGACAAAGAGAGGCTTTTAAAAAATCATGGAGAATTTTGACACTTTGGAATAAAGACACTTTGTATTCTTTAATGAAAAAATGTACTACTACCACCTTGAAGTATTTTCAGACTTCAATTTAACCTTTGAAATTTTCAGATAGGATTTTTGCATAACTGTTTTTGAAAATAAATCCTTCTTTTCTTGTAAACAAACAATGGCTCCATTATCAGAAGATAATAAGAAATATAGTATTTTACTTAAATAGTCATTAGACTCCTTTGTAGATGAGGGCAGGTGGGCTGAATTTTTATTTCAATAATTTTAATCATGGAAGGTTGACTGTATCAAATAATATATGCCAATGCATTAGAACATATCTTAGGAACTCCCCTTCCGGGCTATGTAGCAAGTGAATCTTAAATAACAACCATATTCA